CAGAAGTCCTAGGCCTTAAGCATCAGGACGTTTTAGACGAAGACTATCCAGCGAGAATGACGGTCCGCAGAATCCTTCGGCCTGGGAGTGCCACTCTGACTCTAGACTTTGCGGAGTACGAGAAGTGACGCTCTCTGAATGAGGGGCTGGAACACGGTAGGTTGGGACTGCTCCCGCCCAGCAGCCCCTGCTGACCGCCTCAACCTCCTAGGAGGAAGAGGGGTAAACACGTGCTCTCCCTTGAGAAATTCTTATCCCAAGAGCCCCTGTATATCTAACTCCCTCGAGAGCTGACTCTGCGTGCTTCGCTACCAAGCAGACAACACACAAACTGTGTGTGTCCCCACCCGAAATATAGTGCGGGCAGGGAGGAACACACAGCCTGAACGCTGCCTGCTCTCTCCCAAATGCTTCCTTTTGACTGAAGCTTTCACATAATGGAGCTTATAAGTGGACAGACAACACTAAATAAGACTCACAACAGATAGCGACTGACACACAGAGCGCTTGCTGAATGACAGAAAGCTGCCGCTGTATCCACCGTACATGCTTTTAAGCTTCCTGGTCATTACGTCACCCCGCACGTGATGTCTCGCCCATCCATTGGACTGATTACACATGTGATTCAGAGCGTGGTCACGCTGAAGGTGTTCCCATAGCGTTTCGACACAGCTCGAGTTCCTGAAGGGGAACTTTTTTTTATGAATTAAGGGATTATTATTTTTTTTTAATTAGGTCTTTCTATCACTCATTTTTGATGCGATACTTCAAAAAATGCATAAAAACAGGGTCATGGAAACATAGCTACTGTGTTGCAGAGTTTACCTCTAACCTCTATTAAACACACCTCAACCAGGTTTAACAGAAACCTCCAGGTTCTCTGCACAACGTTGGCCCTCCAGGAGCAGGTTTGGACACCCGTGACGTAGGGAAAACTGTGACTGCTGAGTACACAAAAAGTCAACATTCCACACTTTGTTCTTGTTTTCATTTGGACAAGAACATAATTTGAGTACTTATTCTACAAAATGGTGCAGAACAGGCAAAAAGTGTTTAAAATTATATGCACCTTATGACATCATGCTTCACCAATTCTGGGTCCAAATGCTTTATCAGATACCAAAAATAAACAACAAACGGTGCTGATAATAACAATAATACACTTACTGTGTGCTGAGGTACTACCAAAAAATATTATTCTAAACTTTACCTCCAAAGCGAAATCTCAGTTGGCCAAACAGTGACTCATTTTTAATGATTTTATTTTTAAATATTGGTGTCTGGGATGCCACGAGACACATATTGAACATATTGGGATTTTTTTTTTTTTTTTTAAGTTTAGCTCAGCTTCGCACTTGAAAGTAGAGGCTTGGACCTGGAAACAGTTTTCGATACGTCACAACGTAACAAGTGAATTGTTTATTGTGATTAGTATTAGTAATAAAGACTTTGTCGTACAACATTTTATGCATATTTTTCTGGTGTATGAAGTTGTCAGCTGGTAAATAAGAGCAGCCTGCAACTACAGTCAAGTGGGATCACTGCACCTCTTTGGTTTCCTCTCCCCATGTGAGGAAGGCCACCACAGATAACGCTGTTTTCAGTACGCAGGCCAGAATGTGAGTCCAGTCTATCATGCTGTTGAAGTCTAGCCTGTCGGTCATGCTCTCCTCCAACGTAGGCAGATAAATCTGTGATGTGTAGCTAAATATAATCACCCCCACTGCAACCTGGAAGCCATCAAAGTCCACCATTACCGCACTCAACCTCCTACTGGCCCACTGCGACGACTGACGGAGGCAGTAGCCAATCACAATGAAGGTGATGAAGAACTGAGCCAGCGAGCAGAAGAGGCTCAGATGCGACAGCACCCGCAGGTCACGGATCAGCATGCAGGGCACCAGGATGAAAAAGGTGATGGCGGAGCAGGCCGCCGGGGTCAGAGGCAGGAAAAACAGGCTGTGGCACATCAGGTTACTACTGACAACCAAGTATAGGATGCACGTCATCACCAGTTCCACCACCTGCGCGGCGTTCACCACCTTGCCCCCGATGTAAGGGCAGATGTGTCTGCAGCAGGCAGTAGCGATGTCCTCATAGGTGCGTCTGACGCGAACCGAGTGGCCATTCTCGTCCTCTTCATATAGGCAGGACACCAGGATCTTTCCAGTGTAGCTACAGATGAGTGCGGCTAACACCAGCAACAGCAGACCCATGTACCCACTCTGCAGCAGGGCGTAGGGCAGACCCAGCACAAAGATACCCTGAGAAAACAAAAGAACAAGATGCTTCAGACAAATATATAGCTCGAATGACACTTCTACACAAAAGTGAGATTAACTGAAGACTCTCTGAAGTCTCCTGCCTCTCAGACCCCAAAATCCCACATATCCCCACTAGTTTTGAAAGAGATCCCAGCAATATCTCAAAGTCTGAGATCTCAAAATGAACTTATTTCTCATCTCCCACATCCACATATGTTTTGTAGCTTCGTACTCTTACAGTGAGTCAAGAGTTGAGTAAACTAAAATAAGCATGAATATTATTACTATTGCTCTTACTTGATGTAATCAAACCAACTGACTCTCATGGCAATTTGTAACTATTATACGTTTTGGCAAATTAAAGGTCAATTCATAATAATTCAGGGCTGCCAGCTTTTGAGCTCAACATGGTATGGGAATTCATTACTTTTACAATTGCAGCTGCATTTATATGTCACTCTTGAAACTTTGATGTGTGTACAGGGTATGTGGCCATTGGTCCTCTTAGAGGCACAAAAAAAAACTTTTATTCAAATCCAAATGGATTATAGTCTAGAAAGCGTGCAGATAGCGCTTCCCTTATTATCACTAAAAAGCTGTCATTCACTTCATCTCGATCAGTTCACCTTGATCTCACAAAGTTCTGTTATAATCAGTGAAGTTTTCTACACTGCACAACAGATCTCTTATTTACATTGTGTACTTTCTTTTGTGACAATGAAAGGATTGAATTGAGCGGTCAGTGAACTTTAGGCTTCACTAACTTGAATGCAATGGCCAATCAGAGGTGTTCAGGAAATCAACAGATTTGTCTGTGATTGGCTACATTGCTCAACGTTACAAAAACATGTACAAAAACATGTTTTAAATAGAAACTTTTGAAGCTCTCCAGAGCACAAACACAAATACACACTGGAGAGTTTGCCAAATCAGTGTCACCAATATCCTATTATTACAGTTTCAACTGAGGATGCTCTTGCTTTCGTTTGAGGGTGCATATTCACTGAGTGAAAAAATGGACGTGTGGCGTGAGAGCAGTGTCAAACACATGAGCTCACGCTGAATTCGTGAGAGTTGGCAGCCCTGTTAATTTGTACATTGTTATTTCTCCATTTTCATAAGATCAGCTTAGGCCTTACTGAAGGTTAAGTTTGGAGTGGACCTTCATGCTTAGTTTTCCCTAAAAATCATACATTTTTATTTGAAACAAATTGCATGAATTCTCATGAAATTGTCAACTTTTAAAATAGTCAAATTTTCTCATGAGATCAGGTTGGATCAAACACCAAACACCTAAGCGTCCTCCTGCAGCGTTTGTGCTCCAGACATGAATAATTGGTCAAATCAGGCCAGTACCACTCTCTGTCTATCTTCTTCGGCTGCTCTGGTTAAGGGTCACCACAGTGGAATTATCCACACAGCCATTTGGCACAGGTTTTACACAAGATGACCTTCCTGACGCAACACAGCACTGAGAGTGCACTAACTCGAGTGCACTAATGACCTACTACTTCTGCCCGGATTCTGAAGTGTGCATTCGATGGACACTTTACTATCCCATGAGGCCACGGGAGAGGATTTATGAATGGCAGGGAAGTGACGTAACTGATGCTAGTAGGTCATGTGACAGTAACAAAATGGCGGATGTAGTACGTCCAAATTTCATTCATACTACCCATATTCATACTATATAGAACATACTTTTTAACGGTCGTGAAGTAAATTCAAATGTAGTACCTACTCAGACAGTACGTGATTTCAGACGCACCGAATGACTCCTCCCAGTGAACTTTCTTTTGCCCTGTATAGTGCTCTCTCATTGGCTGTAGGTCGTCACATTTCACACTACAGGATTGTGAGTCGCCGACAGGTCCAGATATTTAACATGCCAAATATCCAATGAGCATTGGCGCTTCTCTCAGATCGTGTCTTTGATAACACAGACTACACGATTGCCACTCGCGTGAAGTAGCGCCGATTTTTCTCCAATTTTGGCAATTTGTCTGCGATTTCCACAAAAATGACAGCGAGTGAAAATCAAGGCTAAAATCATGCAGTGTGTGCCAAGCATAACCTGCATGTCTTTGGACTTTGGGAGAAACCGTAGCACCTAGAGAAAACCCACGCTGACGTGAGGAGAACATGCAAACCCCACACAGAAAGGACTCCCGGGAATGTAAAAGTGCTGCCCACTGAGCCACTATGTAGCCCAGGCTAGCACTACTCTTTTCTTTCAGAAAATTAAAAAACAAAAACCCTATCTATTATTTCTTATATTGTTTCTTCTAAATCCATCCATCCATTCTCCAAACCACTTGTTGTCCTCTGTAGGGTCGCATGGATTCAAGAGCAGGGTTCGCAGACTCCGGTCCGAATCTGGACCACGAGATGCGTCCATCTGGACCACGAAGAATTTTTAATATAGAAATAAATAAATGCCAAACGCTATTTTATAATAAAATCTAATTTATATTAGGCACATCAAAGTCAGCTCAATAGTGCCGTTTGGGTCCTGCGGCACCACAGGTTAACAGTTAACTGTTGCGACGGTCAGAGGTGCAGTGAAGAGAGCAGAGAGTGGCACGCAGACAGATGAATCTTTCAGTGAGTGAAAAACAATGACATTCTCAAAATTTATGAAAGTTGACGGGTCCTTAAAAAGTCTTAGATTTAGTTGTATCAAATTTAAAGGGATAGTTCACCTTCAGTCGCTGGTCCCCATTGACTTGCAGTGTTTTGCATAGTGTTGACTTCACTAGTCTTTAACTTCACTTGTCTTAAATTTGGGGACGGAAAGACAAGAATTTCGATATAGCTTAATGTGACGATTAAACTTCAAAAGGCTGTGATTTCAATGAATAAATATGAGCGCTGCACATTTCAGAGTCAGCTGCCGCTGCTTTGTGTTCTGCTGTTACCAGTGGAAACCACATTATTTCTGCCATTCCAAAACGCTCCCTGCTGGCAGAGAATGAATGTGCATTTTTGTTTAGACCAACGTGAAAATCAACCAATGTTTTTACACCGCAAACACGCAGAGTTGTAAATGTGAACTGGTGGATCGACAAGAAGATACTGCATTATACAAATCTAAACAATTAATAAGACAGTAAAATATATTTATGTTATTGAATTAATATAATGATTGATAATAATTGTTTAAATTAATATAATAATTGATAATTGATAATAATTGACTCCATTTTCTTTAAAAAATGGTTTAAAGACAGAAATGTGAAGTTTATCATTTCATAAAACTTTTTGTGAAAACTTGTGTCTGAAATGTAAATCTGTAAAACGCGAGGTTGATACTTGAGCGATTCATAACTGAGAACTCCATTAAGTAACGAAGAGCATGTAAAGACGACTAGTAGAGATGTTACAAACACACACACACAGCCGCACAGCAGATGGGAGTAATGAAATCACACCCTCTCACACACCCTCCACTAATGAAGTCACAGTCATCTCTGAAGAGACGCTAAGTGACAGATATTTTATCTTGACTGTAATTGTTGGTAAATTGCTTTGTGTTAGACACAATGAATAAAGATACAACACTGCATTCATTTCCTCTCAGGGTCCTAATGACTGTATCTCTCGTGAACAGACAACAGCTGATCAATTCACACACAGAGACACGGGAGAGAGAGAAAGAGAGTGCAGAGCCTAGTGAGATGCATTTTTAGGCTTCATAGATGCTCTTGACATGACGGCTGTACCAAATGGTAGCTGTGTTGGCCAAATTCGAAAGCAGCATTGCTTATGTCTTTCACACTTAAAGCAATCCCAGAAAGCTTTGCGGCGAGCTCTGTGAAAAGACGGCAGATGGGGTCAAAAGAAACAGGGTCAAAAATAAAAATGTATTTAATTCAATAATTATCAAGTGAAATCAACTAAAAATTAACTATTTCACCCAATATTTGTGTGTTATGTAATTTTAATGCTCATTACAGAAACATGTCATTAGCTTAGCAACATATGTTAATGTCAAGCACAAGGAGCTCTATAATTCCTGCAGAGAGCTATCCATTAGCATTCCCATTCATCTCAACGAGATTTCTTTTCCCTCTAAAAAAACACTAACCCTTAACCCTAACCTTAACCTCAGTGTAGCACATCCTGATTGAGCATTACAGTTTATCATAACTGGATCCTTCCATGATTTTTCTGAAGTGAATCCATTAAGTCTGAGCCTTTATTTACACATGAAATCTGCTGCAGGGTGGGATTTGTGGATATGGACAAAAATCATGCATCATCACAGTGGCAGTTAAGGCCACGATAAACTACCAGAGAAGTTCTACAGGCGTAAAAAGAAGTTTGATATACCATTAGTGAACATCCTGACCGCAACCATGCTTATAGAATAGAGCTTTACATTATGAATACATGACAAAACAGCATCAGTGTCGCTTTCGATTAGAATTACAACTCAAAGTTCTACTATAAAGCAGCTCTGCAGTGTGTTCATGCATCTGACCTCGACAGATTGAAAAGAAGAAATGAACCAGAGAAGAAGGCGGAGCCCAGAGCCACACCCATCTATTACATCATCACCACAGACCAATGATAGTTCAGAGGTGTTTAACAGCCGGAGCAAACTCTTCCAGAAAGTTTGCTTTGACAGGCCGTTTCGAACTCCATTAAACCTTGTTTTGCCCTGAATTTGTTCGAAATTACGTTACATTTTACTTGAAGTATATCAGGGCTTTAACTCATTCAAACTGACAAAAGTTTGTGACCTGCATGCTGCCATTTTTGCTCATAGGCACTCAATTCTGGACATTTTTTTAAATCCAATTACCTGAACCCTAAATGTCATGTGACACTCAGGTATCCTGAGACAGAGCTGAAATTAGCTGCATATGATGTTCACTGGAATGATGCCTTAGAAGACAACTGCCTATGTAGACAGCATAGAGCAAGACAACTCACTACAGAGGAAAGACAGATTCACAGAGAGTAAGACAGGTGTGTGTGAGACAGATGGGTGAAGAGGGAAAGAGAGGCACATTACGCTATAAAGTAAAGCAGAAGGATGAATTAAACAAGCTCAAGCAGCAATAACGAGTTGTGTGATCATTAACAGCTCTAAATATTACCCTCAGCCTCAAATGGGAACGAACAGATGAGGTAATGGGGTGTCATTCACATAAACGAGGATTTATGCTGCTATAAAGTAAATAAGGGATATTCAAACACGCACAAACACTCGTGCAATCATTCTAAGCATGCAGAATCTGAGGTTAGGAAATTGGCTGATGATCTTTTACTAAACGTTTTAATTTAGGAGCATAACAGGCAGCACCAGGGTGAATTCTTCACACTACTGAGTGCAGCATTTCAGCACAAAAAACATGCATGACTAACCACCATATGCAAATCTAATTCTAGATATATTGTTTACGCTTTATTTTGATTGTCCACCTCATACATTCAAAGTAACTATAAAGTAACTTTTCAACTACATGTCATCAAACTCTTATTAGAATATTAGTAGTCTATTAGGTTGGGTTAGGATTAGTAGAACAAGTTGACTTGAACTTGCAAATTTACTTATAGTCAGAAGAATGTCTGTTGTTGGACTATCAAAATAAAGTGCTAGCAGAAATTAAGCAGATAGTCTACTAATACTCAAATGACTCAAAAAAAAGTTACTTATAGTTAGCAGAATGTCTAAAGTGGACTATTGAAATAGGGTTACTTAAAAAAAAAAATAAAGCTAAAAAAAATGTTGTGAAAATATTAAATATTGTTATCTTAGATAGGCGCTCCACAAGTAAATACTTCTTTTAAGGATGTTTAGATTTTTTTTATTGTTAAAAGTCTAAAATACTGATTGAAAAAAAAAAGTTTATAAAATTGTTATATATAATTGTTATATATATATATATATATATATATATTAGTGCTGACAAACGAT